AAAATCTTTATGTGGGAATCACCTTCTCCAGCCCAGCTTCTTAAAGATATATTATTCCTGGATTAATTTTTTTTTTTTTAAAAATTGGAGTGAACACAGTAATTTAGAAGGTCACATTTGAAATAAGTAATATTATGGGACATGAATTTTAACAGGGAATTTTTCAGTTTCTGAGCATTTAGCTGCTCTTTGGGGCATTATGCCTTAACACGGCAGTGGTGGGGGCATTTCTTTTGCCCTGGGAATTATGGCCCTTGGGGAGAAAATTTTGGCAAGGCTTAGCTTAACAAAACAATCTGACTCCTAGTCAGTATTTATACTCTGTAAGTGCAGTGGTTTATAATTACATTTTATGTCCTTTGCAAACCTGGGAAATATATTTTGTACCTGCGGTACAGGCTAGAGGTGCTAGTAATAACTTGAAGATTCTTATAATGGTCTTTTCCAAAATGTTTCTTGGCTCTTAAAGCTTTCAATATTCTTAAAATTTTACAACTTTGACTTCAGAGGTTTCCAGTGTTTTCATGTATACCTTTTTTAATGTGTAAATATTTTTATTAAATCTGCTCCCAATCACACTTTTGCTGGGAAAATACAGTGATAGCTGATAACGAACTCAGTAATGTTTAAAAATATGTATTTTAATCACCACAGAATTAGCATACCTTTGAAAGACAGTTGCACATTTATGTGCAAGACAGTATGAGCACGTCCCATCTTTCTGAGGAACTGCAGACAGCCTGTCTTTTGAAAGGCCCTGGAAGGCTCATTGTCTGTAGGTGGAATGGGCTCTACTTGGAGGTGAGCCTGTTGTGGGGGACACACATGTCTCTTCTATGTTTCCTGTGCTCATAGGATGTAAATTGGACTATCAATGTTTATTGAATTTAGTATCAATGTTTCCTTTTAGCTGTCAGTCTGCTGTTAGCAAATTTTACTTTCTGTGCTGAAGTCACATGGCAAGCAATATATGAGTGTCTGTTGTATGCAGAGCACTGTCCTGGATATAATAAACGGATATTGTATGTTTCAAAATATTGTAATGTTTGGACAACCAAATTTGTGAAGTGTTATATAGCAAGTTTCTGTATTGTACAAAATGAACGCAAAGTACTGGGGTATTTAGAATAGTTTGGTTAATGATAATAATGATACCATTTCTAGTAAACATTACTTTTAACGTCCGTAACTGATAAGATCACTTTACTTACAAATTTGATTCTAAAAGTGAAATACTTTATATTGATCATATTTTCTTTTACAACTACTTTAAATCATCTTGAAATATATTTTGAAATCTGTTAGAATGGTGGTGAAAAGAAATACACCACGTTTTTAATATCAGATTTATTAATATGTGATTTAAAACTGAAGCACAGCCAACTTTACTGACTTATTGTAAATAACCACTAGTCTCGTCAGTAACCTTTAAGAATTTCATATTGTATCACATTTATTTGAGCATAAACTTGAAGTGTCTCTAGAAATACTCAGGAGGCTGCAAGATACTTTTTAAAAAGTAAAGTTTTATAGAGGTAACAAATTTGTAACATTTCAGGATTACACTGTACATGCTACATCATGATCAATGAAAGTTTAAGTTTCCACCCACTATTACATAAGCTATCCCCCCTTAACATGTTTTACCAACCTACCAACCCTCCATCATCCTTTCCTTTCAGGACCGACCACTGGATTGTCATCAGCTATTTGTGTTATTTTCCACATTGGGAAGGAATTTTGTCTTTCTCCATCTGTCTTTTTTGATAATAGCTATTCTCACAGGTGTGGGGCCATAGCGCATTGTGGCTTCTGATTTGCATTTCTTTAGTAAGTGAATAACTTTTTGTACATCCTTGCCCATATGCATGTCTTGGAGAAACTGCTGTTCAGAATTCAGCTGACTTTTAAATCAGATTCTTTTGTTGGTTATTCTATGAGCTCTAGATATTGTCAGATAATTGATTTGCAAATACTTTCTCCCATTTTAACAGGCTGCCTTTTCCTTTTGATGATGGTTCTTTCCACTGTGCAGAGCTTTTCAATTTAATGTAGCCCCATTTAGTTTTGCATTTGAATCTACAAAGACATTAAGGTTGACTTCAAGGAGCTTACTGCCTGTTTTCTTCTTTCTTACCGTTTCATGTGTAATATTCAAATCTTTAATGAATAATCAATTAGCTTTTGTGTGATTTAAGATAGTGGTCCTGTTTTCCCAACACTTGCTAAAGAGACTTTTTCGCATTGTATATTTTCTCTGCCATAGATGTCTATATGTGGGTTTATTTCCAGGCTGTCAGTTCTCTTCCTGATCTTTACGCCTGGTTTTATTCCAATACTGTACTGTTTTGACACTATGTCGTATAAAGTCATAGGATGACACTCCAACTTTTGCTTTTTCCACAATATTGTTTTGGTTATTTGGGGTGTTTTGTGGTTCTCTAAGTCTTAGTATTTTTTGTTTTATTTTTGTGGAAATATTTCCTGCCAGAGTTTAAATGTGGAAAAATGTCACTAGGATTTTTATAGGGATTACACTAATTCTGTAGAACAATGGCCATTTTAGTTACATCCTTCTAACCTAGCACAGAATACCTTTCCATTTAGTAGTGTTCAATTTCTTTTGGTGTGTGGGTATTTTTTTTTCTTTGAAACCTCCTTAGTTACATTTATTCTTACGATGTGCTTTTATAAATGGGACAGTTTTTTCTGACTTTCTCATTTCCTGAAATCAAGGCTTTTTTAGCTAAAAGAAAGCAACTAGGAGAGACTGCCCTATAATAGCCTAAATTGTCAGTTAGTAAATGGAGTCACTAAATCGGGCTATCTTCCTGTCAAAGTTTAATTACATTCATGTTTTACTCCAACCTAGTGAAAGGTCTCAGTGACCTTTACAGAGAAAGAAGCTGGAGAATATACCAAAGGAGAAAAATTTGAGAAGCTGTAGCTATAAGAACAGTAAAGAGTCTAGCCCACGTGGAATAGACTAAGGACACCAATCTCAAAGGTACTCTCTAGGACTTAATTCATTATGCTCTTATTACCCTATCTATTCTCAAGTGATGACACTAGTACCAATGAAGAGCTAGCCTATTTACAAAATTAAAAATAATAATAAAAACCTAACTAAGCATTTTAAGAAATAGGTTTAATGAAATAGCTCAGAAAAATGTTGAACTGCTAGTATGAAAAGGGGGAAAGACGTAGGAATGTGGTTTCAGGATTGACTGAAATTTTCACGCGAAACAGTGACAGTAAGCCATAACCGATGTTCTGTTCTAAAACCAAGTATTTCATTCAGCCTGGCAGTTCCAGAGCTGATTAGGTGAATGCCCCAGAGTTTAAACTTCCATCTGCCAAATTATAACCCACAGAGAACTTTATTTTTGGAGACATCAGATGGGTAGCTTTTCCAAAGTATTTGCTTCTGGTAGTATTACCGCATGTCTTCCTTTTCATTATTAGGACATAGCCTTCATAGGAATTCTTAACACTGCGAGAGGACGGCACTTTTGTAAAGATGGGCCTGTGCCTGGGGAGACAACCAGCACTAAAGAATGTAAGTGCTACCCCGAGACTGCAAGTAGGTGTTTACCTTTTCCACATGCCAAAGACCACATATCCTAGAGGAAACCATCCCACTGACAATTAGTTATCCCATGTAAAACTATATATAAAGGGATAACTGGTTTGTATTTTGCATTGGTAGAATGTGCTCAAAATTGTTAGCTCAAAAAAAACTGTTGAGGATTAAGTGTTAGTTCCATTTTAGAAACAGCAAAAGGTGTAACTTGGCTAGGCTCATACCTACCAGCCATGAGTAATTCCAAGTTCAGTGCACCCCAGAACTAGTCCAAAACATTGTATTAAGTTACTGAACGTTTTGAGCCTTGAATAGCAAATGTAGGGCTGAACTACTTAAGACCCTCACTTCAGATACTGTGTTAGGTGAGAAAACCAGAAATTGAGTGAGATGGGTGGTGGGGAAAGATGGAAAAACAAATTTCAGCTATCCTAGAGGTGGATTATAAACTTAGCAACCCTGAGGAAAATTCATCAAGTACTGCCTTTCTGTTTTTTAAATGCTGAAATCCCTTTAAGAGAAAAGTAAACGAAAGGCAATATAATAGGCATTACAATCGAATGGAAAATAAAAGTCTGCTTTATTTCAAAACATTAGCTTTTTGTTATATTGGACCCTGGCCAAAATTCAATACTGATACAAATATAAATTCCCTAGAATGTCAAAATATGCATGTCAAGTAAATGATCAGAATGTCTTTTAAAGGCAGAAATTTTAAACCATATAAAACAATTAGAAATAATGTGTACCAACATGTGGAAAATAAGCCACAGTTCAAATTTAAGCTGAATAACCAAACCAAATTAACTAACATTTGCTAATATATAGAACATTGCACATATTTTCAATAACTTAAGTGAATGTCTATTCTTCCCATCTTCAAAACCCCCACAGAAAGTACTTAAAAAAAAAGAAAAAACACCTAGATTTAAATATTTACTCATGGTAGGAGATTCTGGCATTAACCATGGCAGAGCTTAAAAAGAGAAATACAGAAAATCATGGAGATATATAACTATTCTAAAATGATCACTTAATTCTTTAGAAGTTCTAGGTAAGAAAGGCAGTTCTTCACTTTCTAATAATATGTTGCATAATGTAATTCAGAACAGCACTCTAACCAATGATATTTTATAGGAGATTCTTTTACCACTCAACATTTCATTATAAAGCTGATATTCTGACCAATATTAAAAACCCCATTATGCTGGCATTTTCAGAATTATCATTACACTTAGTAACAAGTTATGCTTATGAGGCCATTTATTAAAATGAAAGAAAAATAAGATGGTACATTCTGGTTTTTATTTTAAAAAGATTTAATTCAGTACCTTGATGCCTCACTATTCAAAAAGTACCATTTTCCTTCTCAATTTGGCATGGCACTAAGGTGAAAACAGCTTTCGTGGTTCTTGAGTTTCCTTTCAAGGAATGCACTTCAGTATTTCAGTAATGAACATTAACCAGTTCCTACTCCAGGAAATATTCCATGTCCAAGAAAATATGAGAGATTCTAATAAGTTCTGTTCAAGGTAAGATTTTAATCTCAATATTTCACTCCAGCAATTTGAGTTATATACCAGATATTCCATCACTAACTAGTAAATGATCACTGAAAACCAATAACACCCTACTCCCGTCATCACTAAAGTTTTCATACTGTTTTATACTCAAAAATATGCACATAAAACATCTGTACATATAAATTAGTGTTTAAGAATTAAAAAATCACATCTACAAATGTCCTCTTTGTTCTGAAACTTGTGTTAATTGTTTAAGACTAAAAACCTAAGCATCCTGACTAGACTTTAAAAACGTGTCAGAATAGACATTATGGAAACTTTAGGATGGACCTCATAAAAGCAATTAACAACTTAAACTGCTGTTCTTTGCTCAACCCTCTAGATTTAAAAGGATACCACTGAGGCAGGTATTTACTAAATAGTGTTCACTCCTACTAGTCAAACTGACTCCTAACCAACCAATAGCTGAGCCAGGATAGTCTTTCTCAGCTAATTGTCCATTAGGAATCTGAAACATTTTCAATTAAAGCCTTCATTTTTCCTGTAGACTTCAACATGTGTGGCCCAAACTAGAAAAGAAACACAGAATAAATAAAGATAACAGCTCATGTAACAGGAATAATCTGCCCCCTCCCAATTATGGGTCATAAGTTTAGATGTGTTTAGCTATCATCTGGGTGGAAGAACCAGCAACTGAATGAGTAGGGGTTTGTAGTATGGGCTTGAAAAACCCCTAGGAAATTCGTAACAAATGACTGTCCTCCCCACACAGCTACATAATATTTAGAACCTTTATAAATACTGATAGAGCACTAGAATATTAAACGCAGAGGTGACTAGATTAGTTCATAAGAAAACTATAATATAATCATCTTAGCAAGACCCCGGTTTAGTTCAACTTCTCCAAATATAAGACAGAAGCACAAAGTCTCAGAATTTTCACTATAGAAAGGGTTTCAAAAGTGCTAAAATTTTAGATATATGCCAGATACCCCTACAACATGAACTTAAATAGTCCCTTCATTCAAGTGCTTCCCTGAAATCCCCACCTGTGACCTGGCACACATTTTGCAAGCACAGATCAAATCTTGCCCTCTTTAGACTTACAGTGAGTGAGCTTTCTTTACCTTGAATTTCTGTATTACTATATATTGTCCTAAGATATAAATTTTATAACAAATTTCACCTCCTTATGCTTAAGTAGAAAACAATATGGAATATTTAACATTGGAAATGCTAAGAACAGTGAAACCAAGGTTAATTTCTGTTCTTAAGTTTCTAAATGAAAACTACTCTGGTGAGAAAAATAATCTACTTGCACATGGCGACTTACCCTGTAGCTGTAGCATACCCTTTGAATCTTATAGAGGGCATAGATGAAAGTCTTGCAAGTGCTTAGCAGTGGGGTGGTCTACCATTGTGTAGTAGGTAAGAAGTATGACCTAATACTCACCAACACTGTTTCTCGGGAAGATGCTGACTCAAGCTTTGGAATTCCTTTTTCGAGTTCACCTTGGTTATCACTTCGATATCGATAGGCAAATTTCCTTTTCAGAGCCTCTGCTATGAGGGCAGCAGGATCAGTAGCATCCACTGCTTTGGGCTTTATATCTTGTTCTGATCTTAGAAACATGAAAAGAAACCACAAAGACATTTCAATATGCTGGCTTCCACAACTTGGAACTACTTTGTATGACTTTCCATGCCCAACAGCATTTCTCTAGCATCACAGCTACTTGATAAAGACTTAATAGATATCGAGAGTACTGAGAGGGAAACCTTAGAATCAAGCTGAATAAAACAGCACAAAAGGGCCCTCCCTGGTGGCACAACCGGTTAAAGCACAGCACGAGTTCGATCCCTGGCCAAGGAGGTGACCCACATGGCCCAGCAGACCTCTCCTGTCTTGCCCACTGCTCCCCTCAGCAGTGTACCTGTCCTGCTCCCTACTCTGTCTCTAGTGAATCCTCTCAACCACCCTTGCACCTCTTGCTCCCCCCACAAGAGCAGCAGTCTTTAAAAAATAAAGTGCCCAATGAATAGCCACTCAATTCATTCAAGAGAACCGATTATGCAAGCTATAAAAACAAGAGGGACATGAGCATGAAGGTAAATGTATCCTCACCTTTTTACCGACCGAAGTTTTACACTGTTCATATCTTTAAGGATCTCTAGCATATTTGGCATATCATGTTTCTTTGGACTGTTTTTAATTGAAGTCTTTCCAGCATTGGCTTTTTTCTCTCTTCGCTCTTTAATCAGGTCAATAGCAGATATACTCTGGGGGAGTCCTGATGGAGGAGGGAGAGGAGGAGGAGGTGGTGGTGGTGGTGGTGGTGGGACAGAAGGTGTTATTGTAGTAACAGAAGTGGCAGAATCTAGATCACCTATGAAACAAGCAGAAAAATCAATTCTCATGGTGACAGGCAAATAAAATTTTTAAACTTTCACATGTCTGACAGAGTATCAGTTATGTAAGTAGAATGAAAAGATAACTGTTAGAATCTAAATGCCTGAATCTCATTCACTGTATCAATTAATCCAAGTTTCCAAATGGAAAAGTCCTCTTTAACAGTGTTTTTGTTACATCAAATGTTCAAATCTTGACTGTGACACAATTTGCAACTACTTTTAATATAAAGCAATCTGTATTGCTAAAGTAACTATCCAACTAAGCACATGGATGACTTAGTATTATAATTATCTGAAAAACTATTTGATATATGTATATCTACTTAAAATGAACACACATTTAAGACAGTGTTAAAACCCTGCACTGACTGGAAATTGTTACATTTTGAAAAGAAACTAAAAAAATGGTTATAAAATAAAGATCAAATCATCTTTCTGCATACCTAGGGGTTAGAGTTATTTACTGATTGGGGGTTGTTTTACTCAAGGGATTTAGGCTATATAAAATAAAAATTTTAAAGCCCTAAATTCTCTCATTATTTGACAGTTTTCCTACTCTGCCACCAGAGGGAGACAAAGCAAAGAAAATGTGATTTGTACAAGAAAAGGTCAAGTCTTGGTTTTTACAGTTACAAACTTCATTTAACATGGATTATTGCTCAAGCGCCCTCTGCCCACCTTTCCATGTTGGTTACATTAAAATCTAGTAATACAAGCAAAATGGCTCAGAGCAGATTAACTGCCTTTATCCTCTGAACAGTTTGTTAATGGGAGTCTCACCAGGAAAACAAGTGGTACTTGCCAACAGGTTAATGGGTTAGGATTTCAAGGCTAAGGTTGCTTCTCCAAAGTCACAATGCCTGCCTTAATAAAGGCACTACTAGACCAGAAGTCAGAGGACCTGAACTTGGTTTCTACACTGGCATGAGGAAAAGCCACTATGAGTTGAAGGCATTTTATATCATTTTTCTCTCTTACTCCTCTAATAACTCCCTAGCAAGGTAACATTATCCCCACTATAAAGCAAAAAGAGAGGTAGAAATCACAACTCTCACCGGTTACCAACAAAGAATTATATTAGTAAAGCAAATGCCTCTAACATATATTACTGGTAAACAGCACACTCAACCCTGCCAGGGCTGTTTTGAGAGTCTCATGTCTGATATAACTGGTGCTGTTATCACAGACAACTAAGTTTCCTGTAAGAACGGCAAGCATTCACACGAGCTAACAACTATCAATTTTAGTGTTTTCCCAAATAAACGTACTCTTCATTCTCTCTGCAAGCATAAAGACTACAAAACAAATACTGGAACCAGAACTAGACTATTCAGAGGACTGACCACTGGTTTTCTTACAACCCCAGTGGCTATTTGTCAAACAATTTTAAATTAGCGGCATTTTACTAATTTCCAGTTTTGGGTTAAAACATACAGTACTTGCTACCTGCAGTGAGATTTTGCTGCTCTTGCAGGGTCACAATTTTGGCAATCTGGGCTCTGAGAGCAGCAAGTTCATTTTCAAGCGCACAGATCTTCTGCAATGCTTCCTCATTTGCCAGAGTTGAAGTCTTCAGTTGAGGCTCTTCTGGAGACAGGTTTGGTAAGGAAAGCTGCCTGCTTGGAGGCTTCTCAAAGAAAGGAAGGTCATCCCAAAGCAGCTGCCCTGACCTCACCTCTGTCCTACAAAGAAGACAGAAAGTTGATAAAATCATAGGCTTTTGTAAAGGAATATGAAAAATCACTGCCAACTAATCAGAACATGATTCATAATATCTGAGAACCACTTTCAGGATAACTTTATGTTAAATACTTCCAATAAGTTTCAAAACAAACAAATAAAACACCAGTACTTTATCAAGATATATACCAGGCTTGGGCTTCCTATCACATTCTTAGTAATTCTTCTTTTTTCCATTCTTAATTCTAACCTCCATAATATACACAAACCAACACTATAACACTATATGGAAGTATTACAGATTTTAACATTGTTGCTAATTCATGCTTGCTTTGAACTAACAAAGAAATATGCCAATACATTAACTCAAAAGGACAACTGCACCTCTTGTTTATCGCTGCACATTTTATAACAGATAAGATATGGAAACAACCCAAATGCAAAAAAATAGATGAAGCAAGAAGATGTGGTATATAGAGACAATGGAATATTACTCAGCAATCAAAAAGATAAACCCATGCCATTCGCCACCACAAGGATGGAGCTGGTATTATGCTCCGTGAAATAAGCCAGAAAGAAATATCAGATGGTTTCACTTATAGAGGAATCAAATAAGGGGTCAGGGAAAAAAATAAACCAAAATTAACAGGCAACTATAAATCAGAGACATTCTGCAGGTGAGGGAGGGAGAGAGAGATCAAAATGGGAGGGAAGAGCACAAAGGGGGTATGGTGATAGTGCACAGGTCACCTGGTAGTAGCAACCTCACTAGAACTACATCTGAGAGGAGAGGCCAAAGTATATTAAAAGATGTTTTAACACTCAAAATAAGGTAAGCTAATTACGAGTTATACTTGATTATCAAATCAAATCAAATCAAATCAGAAAGCCACTAGCTCTTCCCCAGGGGCCTGACTTCTCCGCCTTAATGTCTGTTTTCCACACATGACATATATATCAAACTGCAAGACAAACATACTGTATGTAACAATATGGGCCAAAGCATCAAAAGCTAAAAAAACAACAGCTAAATGGTGACATTTTCGCTTGGATATATAAAGTTATTTTTTAATGTGTACTCTGTAGGTACAAATGAAATTTTTGGAGGGTTGGGCATAAAATTCTATTTCTTTCCAATTAATTTATATACTTACCTACTTCTTCACATAGATAGTCAGGTTTTCCAGGACTCTAGAATAGAGGATAAAAAACTGACAACTCGGGGCCCCCTGGTGGCGCAGCGGGTAAAATCACAGCACTAAGAAGCTAAAGCCACTTCCGCATGAGTTTGATCCCCCTGCCCCGGAGGAGATCCACATGGTGAGGCAGACCTCTCCTGGTCCGCCAGCTGCTACCCTCAGCAGTGTACTTCGTCAGTCCACCTGTTCTGCTCCCCACTCTGTCTCTGGTGAAGCTTCTCACCGTCCCTGTACCTCTGGCCTGTACCCCAGTTCTGTATGCACAAATAACTCTTTAAACAAAACTTATGACAACTCATGTGTACTTAAAGATATGCAACCTAACTATTTGATATATATGTTCACTATGAAATGTTCACAATTAAATACATTAACATAATCTAGCTTTCTTCAATTTCCTGTGGTCACGTCACTGAGTTTTTCTTAAAAAGATGTAGGCAGAATGTTGGTGAGCAATCTAGGAAGACTGCTTAAGAATGACAAAGTCCTTTCTTCAGCTCCGTACCTTTTCTCCTTCTGGGAGCCTTTCAGTGCAAGGTAATGGCTGGAGTTTCAGTAAGAGAGCACAAAGCTAACCTTCTTTGGAAGCCTGATGTCACTGTGAGGCCACTATCAGCTCCAGAATATCTGCTCTAACCTCTTTTTGACTTGAGAAAAAAATAAACTACCTTGAGAGAAACATAAACTTCCACCCTGTTGAATTCATCATTTTGTGTTAGTCAAACTTAATACTATTACAACATTCACCAACATTAAATTCAATTTTAGCATTTCCTTAACTGGACATTGGTATTTTATCTTTCAGAGCTGTGTAATTCTTCATTCTACCCTGTTTTATTTATATTTTTACATTACTGTATAGTCCCCATAAAATTCCCACCAGTCACCTGTGAACCATCACCACAGTCCCTTATGCTCTTCTCCCCCCTGCCCTGATCCTTTTCCCTCTCCTTTCATCTCATAATGTCTCTTATCCATGGCTGCCTGCTAGTTTTGTTTTATTATTTTTTTCTCATCACTTAATTGGTTCTCCTACACTCCTCTAAGTGAAGACACTTGATGTTTTTCTTTTTCTTTCTAGTTTATTTCACTGAGCAGGATCCCTTCTAGCTCCATCCATGTTAATGTGAATGGCATGAGTTTATTTTTTGATTGCCAAATAGTATTCCATTGTGTGTGTATATAGCACATCTACTTGATCCAGTCCTCTATTTATGGGCATCTAGGTTGCTTTCCACAGCTCACCTATTGTAAACAGTGCTGCATAAACACAGGGGTGCAGGTATCTTTTTGAATTAATGTTTTCATGTACTTTGGGTATATTCCTAGGAGTAGAACTGCTGGTTATATATGGGGGAATTCTGTCAACTCTTAAGCTTTTGGTATTATACAGTGAATTCAATGTTTTTCTTCATGCATACTCGCTGCCCAAATAATTAAGCTGCCAAACAGAGTGTGCTACAAACTGGTTTTTACTTGTAACATTATTTTACAAAAAATACTTGGAGAATAAATGCCTTGGTCCTTATCTAGTCCCTGGCTGCTTATCTACTCACCAATTTTAATTAAATACCAACTTTTCATAAATTTTAGTTGTTAATTTTCTTACTAATTTTCTTAAATTTGGATATTTGTGGGGTATGGAAATATTTGGCATGCAAAGTTTCTATTTCCATTCCATTTCTTAGCCCCACTGTGAATAAACAGTTAATGAAATTTCGACAAAAGTATACAAAGATTAAGCAAAAGTAAACTTCTATAGGAACAGTACCAATTAACTGATTAAAAAATTTTTTGAAAGAGTACATACAAATTAGGGATCCAATATTTGTGCTTTAGTCAACCTGAAAATAATTCCACTGAGACATTAATTTTTTTTTTAATAATCACCCTGGCTCATTGATTCAACAGGTTAAATTCTGATCTCTACCTCCCTGTCACAGGGTAGGTCAAATAATTTTATTGAACAGCTCTACACAGTAACTACATTGTTACAAGCAGATGGAAATTGTTTAGTCTACTGAACAATGGTTTTAGGCAGGATTATTTATATAGAATAATTATATTCTTGTTTCCTTCACTTTAACTTTTTATTAGTATAACTGAACACAACAATGATTTTTTTTTTCTCAAAAAAAAAAAAAACTTCTGGATAAAGAACTAGAAAACTGCTGGTAATGGTGATATAATGCTAGTCTTAAGAACAGATCTGGATAAAACACAGAAATAAGTTAAGTGTAGAATTAAAGTACCACACCAGTTTAAAGTAACAGTGAAGAAAAAGGGAAGAGTATTAAGAGTAGCAGCTGGTATTGAGTTTAGAGGAAAAGAGCGGTCAGAGGCGACACCACCACCATGGCAGGGGCACCAGGGTGAGAATAATCTGGAGTATGATGACTGGATGAAGTGGAACTGAGGAGAGAGCAGAGAAAGATAACACGATTCTCTACCCCCACCACTTGTCCATGTTCTGTGACAAGTGAGTTTTGCTTATTTATCAAAATGTGCCTAGAAGAATGAATATAATCTGGAGATGGACGTGTAGATGATGGTTTGCTTTCACAGTATGTTTGAGTGAAGTGATGTTATGAAGTCTAAAGTGCAAATAAAATTATTAAATTTTGACTATCAGAATCTATTGCTACAAAACAAAAAGTGATATTGTAATAATAGTTATTCCCAAACTAGTGGTCATTTCAGTAGAGGGTATCCCCACTTAAAATTTTTTTTTTTTTAAGATTTATTTGTGCATATAGAACTGGGGTACAGGCCAGAGGTGCAGGGGACTTCTCTGAGAAGATTCACTAGAGACAGTGTGGGGAGTAGAACAGACTGACTGACGAAGTACACTGCTGAGGGGAGCAGCGGATGGGTTGGTTAGGGGAGGTCTGCAGCACCATGTGGATCATCTCCGGCCGCGACCGAACTCATGTGGAAGTGGTTTTAGCTTCTTGGACCCGCTGCACCACCAGGGAGGGCCCTGCACTTAATTCAAAATTGCTAAATACTTTTAAGTTTGTCTTAAAATGTTATCACTCAAATAATCCAATCTTAAAATCCCATGAATCTTTTTCTTCAATATCCAGAACTAGAATAATGACAATATGGATTAAGATAATAACTAAAATCCATGTTTAAATAGCTTACGTTCTTTCAAATGTCTTCTAGACAAAACTGTGAGAGAATAAATGAATACTGTTAAATGTTAAAGAAAAAAGTCAAACTTCTATATCTCCCTATAACTCCTACAAGTGGATTTTATCAGGTTATTTGTATATTATGCCTATACTATATAACTTTAATTACACGGATTCACATTTTTCTGTGGTCATGAGTTCAAATAAAGTAGCTATAGGAAATGCAAAAGCTTAAAATGTGAAATTTTCAGCTTTGTCAAAATCTGTTGAAGCTGGGCCCTGCCTGGTGGCTCAAGGGATTAAAGTGCAGCAATATAAAGCTACCCACATCCACCAAGTTTGATCCACTGCCAGAGAGGTGACCCACATAGCACAGTAGACCTCTCCTGACCTGCTTCACTGTTCCCCTCAGCAGTATATTTCAGTAGATCTGTCTGTTCTGTTCCTCACTCTATCTCTGGTGAATCTTCTCATCCCCTATACCTTTTGGCCTGTACCCCAGTTCTTGCATGCATAAATAATCTTTAAAAAAAAAAAAAGCTACAATGCTAAAAAAAGAAAATAATCTCAAAGTGAGTAAGTCTGCGCAAAAACATGAAGATGAGATTCGACATGTACAGCTTAAGAACCAAAACCAGGCCCTCCTTGGTGGCGCAGCGGGTTAAA